AACTTGGTCTCGTGTGTTGTTATGTGTATGAGGGCTGGCGTCACTTCGCGGCTGCCCACACCTTGGAAGGGTATTTCTTGAGGAACCTGAGTAGGAAGGTGGATTATTGTTGGCCTTAATCTGGGATCGTGACCGCAGAGCCCAAGGGACAACCGCTTTTGACCGGCCACGCTCGGCCTTTTTGTGGGAAGATTTTAAGGTGTTAGCTCCGTTCTTCAAAAGGCCTTACCGTTGGAAATGAAAACCCGTGAAGTAAGGTAAGGTGTGACATTTTTAGGGTCAACCTTTTCTAACCCCTTCCTTCCTTGTGAGAAGGCAGCATCGCTGCAGATATCAGTTACACTAGGGAAAAATCTTACTTCTTTCACACCCCTCTACAGTCATTAGTACGACTTCGCCCTCAGACCGGCTGCCTGTACTGCTTAACGATACTTTTCTGCAAGTATCTGGGATCGAGATCGGATTAATGGTAGGGGTCTTTCAAACTTGGGTTTGAGTTAAGAGCCCAAGAGATAAATGTTTGATACCGGTCATACATAAGTTTTTGTGAGTAGTTTTAGATGCATTAGCTCCATACTTTTCAGGGCTCACTACGGGCGGAACTCCGTGGGCCCAGGGTAGAGTGTACTATTTTTAGGGACAACATTTTGTAACCCAGTGACATTTCCGTACAGTCAGCAGTACGCTTCCATCAACAGATGTCAATCATATACTATTAGTTTTATCGCTCTCCTGAAGAAACAAGTGTTCCAATCAATATAGCTCGATCGGGTCTTTTCGGTATGTAAGCGTGACCACCCATTCATGATAGAAAGTGTGTTTGATTTCAGCTACAATTATTATTAGCCCTGATCCTTCGTAATTAATCCACAATCTGGCAATGATTTGTATCGCTCCAAGTTGTCATACCTGGCATCTATCTAAAAGAACAAGAAATAGTGGTATTGGGAATAGTGGTGAACTAGCTAAGGGAGAAGATAATTTAAAAAGAATGACTGAAATCGGGAAGTAAAAAGTACAAATAAGTATCTTGAACTCAAAACTTATAGGACTCCACTATTGTTATCGGTATAAGTAATTTCAGTAATAAAACGGTAATCGACAGTGTAGGTTTACGCTTGTCTGTTTCGTCATAGAAATTAAGCACTGTTATTCTTTTCGTTCTTTCTATCAACACTCATTATCCTAGTCACTTTTCTCAACTTTATATCTTATCCTTATCACCGTCATAGCCATCCTTATATATGTATAATAAATTGTTGGTGAAGTTCACTCCTTGAAGTTTTCATTGAATATTATCAATGGTAGAGAAGATTTACAGCTCAGGCGAATATTTTTAATGTTGTTAACTTATCTGGTTTAATTTAATTACTTCATAAAGCAGGCCCTGGCAATGTTGTTCTGAATGACAACGAAAGCTCTATCATCAAATTATCTAACTTAAAGAATTCAACATCAAAAATAACTACTAATTTTACCATTGTGATGTTCTTATTTCGATAACTCTTTAAAATAATAATAAGTTTTTATTGTCTGTTCTAATTTATCATGGTTTTATTAACAATAACAATCAAGATAGAATACAAAATAGTGAATAAGGGGTTGAAATTGTTGTCTTTCTGGCTGGTTTCTCTGTTTCTCTCTGCTTTTTGTGGGCTATTTTATTCATATTTCATACTATAGAATAATGATTATAAAATTTGCATATACTGACGGCCAAAAGATAAACAGTTTGTGTGAACGTAATTTAAATTGATTTTGTTTTTAAAATACTAGGTAGTTAACGTGCTTTCTCAACATACTTCACATAATGTCGATTCACTTAGACTGATGACCATATTATAATTTGACTGATAGAATTCGATCAGCACTAAAGGAGTAAACACAGACATAATACACTACTTAGCGATAAATCAATAATAGGTGTTGTTTTCTATTGTTTTATCACAAACTGTTATTTAAAACATTACTGGGAACTCAAAATATACTCTGAACAGTTACGTCACTATACTTTGACATTTCTCAACAGTGTGTACGTACAATTCCACACTATATCAAAGTCAAGAAATGTGCTTTGTTGATTTCCGTCTTATTGTTTTTGTGTTCTAATATAACCATGCTCTCTATGGAATCCATTAAGTAAAAACGGATACCTAATAAAATTCCAAACAAAATATACGTCCACAATAGAACCTAAAGTAAAATCACCGACATCACCAAAGTACAATTTAGTCCTAAAATTGCAGTTAAATGTGATGTAACCTACGAGCTAGCGATGCGATATATAAAAAGCACCATAGAATCACGCAATTGTATTATTGTATTTTTTAAATATCACCTCCTTTTGTTTGATTCTAAAAGAGAACAGTGAAACTGTAGCGTCGGTTACTATGTTAAGCGCACATCACTTATTCTAGCTTCTGGACAGACCAATTTATTCTTCTTGAGTCACATTTTGACCTTGTTAATTATTTACTTATCGACCTTGACTGTTTTTATGTAAGCGTTTGTGTGTTCATTTCCTATCTTACTATCACATGTCTGTAACTTATTTTTGTTCGGCTATAAATATCGATCAACGCTTGGTTAAATCGAGTTGGCTCATACTCCTCAATTGCGCGTCTTTTCGTTTCGCTCTCTTCACTTCTCGAATCTCCTTCGCTCTTCCCTATTTGTTTCATCTTCTTGATTGCCTGTTCAAATCAATGAGTGCATGAAATATACATATTCAAAATCAACTCTCGTATTTTGCTTATTTAGTTCCATTATTCACTAACGTGGTTTAAGTCGATTATCACATACGAGGATACCTGACATATGTCTTTCAATAACATTCATACGATCCAATTGGAGTAAGATGTCGGGCCATTAAAGTGGTAAGATCGTTGATAACATCGACCGATCTAATTGACGTCAAAATGAAGGGCCCCACTAAAAAAACACTCTGTTTTAGTGCATTTAGTAGATATCAATCAATACAGAATGTTTTTCCAAACCTATTTATAGAATGACATCGAACTTGCACCATGTTTCCAGACTTCGTCTTTCACATATGTCAAAAGTCATAGGTACACACATCAACAAACCTTATCTTTGTGTTCAGAAGAATTTTGTCCAGCCTCTTAATTAACCATGACTTTCACCTCACTACATTTCTTAGAAAATTTTTAATTCTACTCAATTTTGATTTATAATTTCATTTTACATGATCTATCTTTCTTAATAATCTGATTACCTAATTTCTATTGTACTCGTTTTACTAATTGTGTACTGTTAACTTTACAAATTACAGAAAACATTCGTATTCAATTGCTTGATTTTGAAATGAATTAGTTCTTATTATTGTGCAACGAGTTTTATGGTTAACTGATTACGTAACCTTATCCTTAAATGTGTTATATCTTCTACATTTGTTGAACATCTTAATGATTACTGCTTTATAGAAAACATTGTTAATTCGACGAAGCACCATTTATTTACTGAATTGTAAAACCTATCTATTTTAGTGTAAAGCTCTAATGAGGAATTAATTGAAAAGAAAAATTTCTTCACCAGTATAGGGTTGTGGAGATTGTTGGATTTTTATTGAGACCGTGAAGCGATCAATGTTAGACCACCATTAAAACCCTGGAAGCACTTGACAGTCGTTTCGTCCTAGTATAGGGCCCGTCAGGGATGCGCATCCACGATCCCGCACCTGGGACTCGATCTCAAGACCTTTCGTCTCACGCGAACCCTTAACCTCCAGACCAAAGGTACAGTGTTAACATACGTTTCACCGGAAAAACATGTGCTATTTATCATTATCACTACCATTATTATTGTTATTAAAAACTCGTTAACACGTACATATTGGCGTACTTGGCTTTCAATCATACTCTACTTGTGATGCCTAGTGGTACTAACCCTGGTTACCCAAACCGAAGTAGGAGGGGTAGGGTTCGAACTTGTCACTTAGGGGTTGAAAGTCGTAAGCGTTAATCACCTAGCCACCACTCATAAAGAATGTAGATAGGTATGAATTGGGATGGTCACCTACTTCGAAGTACTTGAATACATTATCTGTTACGTATCTCCGTTACACTCTTCTGTTTTGGACATTTGTGTAATCGATTTCATTTTGTTTGTATATAAGTTTTACAATCCCGTGACTTCACTTAAAAGTTATTCTTGATTATATCAAAGTATTTTGAAATTGTCATTTCCGAGTCTCTCAGATGTTCGTAATGTATCTATTTTGTTCTGAGTTCTGATTTAATTAGGATATACAAATCATACGGTATATCTCATCCAGTATGTACGTGACAAGAATGGAATGAGTAATTAAGTTTAATTAGCGAATCGATTTGTAACATACACAAATCTTTAGTATTCATTTGGCATTATTTTTTAACCGGAAAAAGATATGTAGGCTGAGACATTAACTAGGTGTTCGAATGAATTCCTCTAACAGCTTGCCTTGTTTTTAACTTCTTACCTACCGTCTGACCTTAAGTCGACATGTGAGCCCTCGCAGTTGACATGCCTATACTTTTGTTACTTATCAGTATCATTTGTATAACGATAACCATCATTTCAATGTTCCGTGAAAGTGCAATATATAGCATTATGGGGATCAGCGTTGTGTATATGAACACAATTTTCACTAGAGATTTCATTTTCATCATTTGAAGCTGTCCGCATACATATTCCATGAATACGCAAGTAATGCCCATCTCAACCCCCTATATGAAAAAGACAAATAAATTAGAAATTGAAATCCTTAGAGAAAATTATACTCTCATATGCAGCATTCACCAACGAAATGAACGAATAGATTCTTGAAAATGCTTGATTACGTAAATATTGAGCAACGGATAAATAACATCTCCGCATCATTCGTAGTCATTCACTTTAACCAATCCTCTAGAAATAATTTTAATCTTGTTTAAACTATTCATAACTTATTTATTTTGAAAATCCTATAATCGTGAATTTTTTTTTACTAATAACTTGTCTAGGATTGCAAAAATGTATTTGATGGTGAAAACATAAATATCAATTCACAGTCACGTGAATATGCACAACCGTTTATTTCAAATGCATTAGATTCATCAAATAATCATGCTACCACACCAAAAGGTTGTACCATAGTTATTAATCCAGCAAATGTTGGCACCGATGGAATTGATGCAATGGAAAATAAAACTACTCTACCGTAAGTTTTAAACATTATTTAGTGTTTACACTGAGTTTTTAGGCTCTTTACTCGAACACTACTAGTTGAGTCAGAGCTTATAGCGAAATGTTACCTAATTTTCAACCTCAAGTAGTGTCCGGCAAGGTTGTTCACTATCTCCATTTTTGATTGACTTCATCATAAGACCTACTAATGGGAATAACGTCCTGTTTGATGAAGACACTGATAAAATACAGAGTCTTCTGGTAGCACTAAGCAACAATGCCAGAATGTTTGCAATGCGCTTCTCTCCCTCTAAATGCAAGTTGTTGCTTCAGGACTGGTCTGCGTCAACACCTGAACTAAGGATAGGGAGTGAAGTAGTCGAACGCGTTGACAACTTCACTTATATTGGAACTCTGATCACCCCTAATGAGTTGGTGTCTAACAAAATGTCAGCGCGGATTCGAAAAGCTCGTTTGGCTTCCGCCAACTTAAGGGACCTATGGTGAAGACGAGATATCTGTCTATCAATAAAAGAACGAGTATACGCGCGCCAGTCCGTTCTGTTTTAATTTACGGCAGCGAAACATGGCCATTAAGAGTAGAAGACATCAGTAAGCTACTAGTATTTGACCACAGTTGCCTTAGAAATATTGCTGGCGTCTGCTGGAATCACCGGGTAAGTAATAGTGAGGTTAGACGCAGGGTATTAGGGAATGATGGTAAATCAGTTGATGAGGTTGTGAATCTTCATCGACTGAGATGGTTGGGCCACGTGTTATGTATGCCTGAACACCGATTACCACGACGTGCAATGCTAACCGGTGTTGGAGATGGTTGGAAGAAAGTTAGGGGTGGCCAAACCAAAACGTGGCATCAGTGCTTGAGGTCACTAACTTCTGATCTTAGCCATGTTGGGAGATGCATACTACTTGGTTGGGGTCCGCGTGAATATCGTAAACAATGGTTGGAGACTGTGTTACATGGCTCAGAATCGATCACAGTGACGTTGGTGTATACACCCTTCGCCTTCACTCAATCCTTGCGATTAAAATTACTCAAAATTGTCTACGAACTAATTCTTTCTTCCTGTAGTATATCCTTTTATGCAATCTTGTTGTGCTAATGAGGTATGGCAACTTGGACCGATGCATATATGTGCCTGGTCCTACGTTGTAGCTGACTGACTTTGAGGTAGGTGATTGGGAAAGAGTATAGTGTAGGAACGACAATAAATCAGCCACGACGAACTTTCTGTCATTTCTTCACCTCATTGGAAAACTATCTCTAAATGGACGGTGTATGGCAAAAAAAAACAACAGTAAAACAAAGTTTAAGCAAATTTTACAGAGTCAATGTATCTTTTAATGTCCTCTACAAAGTACTTTTCCTTTCAACTGAAAAGCAGTGACATGTAATCCCTGTCCTCGAACCTTTATATGAACGAAAATAAATTCTTCAGAGTACCTGCATTGTCAGGGTCGTAGATTCAGAGTAAAGATTAGAGTTTTAGAACTACGGCTGCTAGCACATCATCTTCTATAATGCGGAAATTCTCTGTATTCAAATGGATGAATGTATTTACTTCAAATATCCAAGAGGTGTTATCTAACTTTCTTGTTTGTAAGTTATATTGCCACTAGCTTATTATTATGAATCAGGATTAAGCATTTAGGGATAAGATGTTATATAAAATGTACAGAAATAGAATAAAACACTTGGTACGTTTAACGCAATGATTTTTACTTTATGGTGGTTTTCGGTAATTTTTCGTTATAATTTTGAACGTTTTTAGTAATATACAGAGATATTGTTGCTTATTGTTATGGGTATTATTTGGATTTTATTCAAAATCTGAAAAGTCGCTTTCTCGATTACGATTGACTCCTATCTATACTATACTCTTTCACGAGTGGTTATAGTTTTTATTCTTATACATATTTTTTGTGACTTTGGTAATTCGTTTCGTGTTGTGTTTTCTTGTTCTAACAATCATAATAATAAACACTCTTCAATGTCATATTTTTGTTACATAATGGAGTTCTCTGTGGTCTTTGTGTTAGAATATACTTCACATAACTCATTCTCAATCAGAGCAAACGTCGAGAGTATGTGTGTGTTTTTATCAGCATGAACAACAAAGATACAGTTATGAATACATCAGAGTTTATGTAGAATTTACACAAAAAATCAAGGATTTTGATTTGTTCACTAGCGCACTCTTTTGTTGAAGATAGACCATTCACTGTGTTTTGATTTATTTCTGATACAAGCCCGTAATTTTCAGGGATCTATCTTACTGATATCTCCACTTTGAGGTCATTCTTCGGATTGGTTGTAAGGATCTACTTGTATCTGGTCTGCACTTACGTTTCTTCATGGGTTGAAACGTAAAATTCGGTAGACAAATAGCTGGAGTTTTCACCCCTTTTTTGTAACTTTTTAAAAACCTTTATCAGATATTCACTTACGTAAACCTGTTAGACCTGATGCTTGTAACTCACCAATTGATAGTATTTTTTCGCCGTTGTCAAAATTGAAGTAAATGAAACAAGGTTTAAATCTGTAATCTGATAGTTTAAAGTTAACTGCTTCAATTATTATAGCACTTCTACGTTATTCTCTTCTAAATCTGTTGTAACAAAGATCACGTTTTCGGATAGATAAGTAACTGTATGCGTCTGAGAAATAGTCCAGTTATTTCGCATAGTGCTTATTCACATCCTGTTCGATTGTCTTTATATAGAGATAATGCTTCCAAGACATCTATTACTTACAATATTTTTATGTTTACCAGTATTTTACGGCTGGGTCACATAATAGTTTATCACAAACTATAATCATACTTTTACAATCATTCAAAATTTCCACTATCTTAATTGTTGTATATTGAGAAATGTATGCAAATGTGTTGTATTGATACGCTAATCAGAGCTAACATAAATCTCATACATAAATTGGATTATTTATTTATTCAAATTATGTCACTTTTATTCCATCCTTAAGTTAAATGATATATGTGTGGATCTATCATCACCTAGAGGATTATATTTGAATAACATATCATAAGTTGACTTCGATAATATTCATATTGATATGCTGAAAAAAAGTGAAGAATCATTGGACATTTTGTGACTTTTCTTGTTATCTTTAATTAATTCCAATCCAATTCGCCGGTTACTCCTCGTGAAGGAGTACAAGCTGCCCTCCAGCATTCTTCATCGAACTCGGTCCTGGGCAATCCTTCCCAGTTATTTCCAGTTGCTATTCATCCTTTTCATGCCTACTTCCAATTTCCGACGCAGTGTGTTCTTCCGTTTTCCGCTTTTTCGTTTCCCTTCAGCATTTCAAGTTAGAACTTGCCTCATGATGCAGTTTGATGATTTCCAGAATGTATGTCCTATCCACTTCCAACATCTTTGCATAATTTTCCCCTTAGTTGAAAGTTGGTTTGTTCTCTCCCACAGTAGGCTGTTACTGATGATATCTGGTCAATGGAATTTACTATGCTGCATAGACAAATGTTTATACATACTTTTACCTTATTGATAATGGTTGTAGTAGTTCTCCACGTTTCAGCTCCGTATTGAACATTCTGACTTTGACGTTGGCTAACAGTTGTCATTAGAAATTATTCATTAATTAATTACTATTTTCAGTAATCTATCTGTCCAGTTAGTGATGATAATTTGTAAAGATTAATTCTGTCAATTCAGCTAATTTTTTCCGGAAATCACTTGCATAAAATGTAATGAAGTTGATCAGTCTTTACCTTCTCTATTTCTATTCTTTTTTTAAATACTTCCAGTATTTATTGAATTGCAAATGCGAAAAATCATATATTGCTTATTTTCAATAGTTGAAATCATGAGCCAGTTGAAGCTAGACCACTATGAAAAACCTGAAAGTATTGGACGGCCAGGTTTTCCATGGTGGTCTAGCTTCCATTGACTCATGACCTCAACTATTGAAATTACTATAATATCTACAAGAACCCCTTCTGATACTTATTTATTTATTCATTTACCTGTTTTAATCCCTTTTTTATTTTTAGTATATTCCCTTTGGTTTCTTTTTTTATTGTTATTGTTAACAATGACTTTTATTATTCTTTCCTCTTGTTATTTTTAGGCGTTACCAATTATTTAAGTATTTTGATTTTGTGTATAGATTAGAGAATATAATTTTGTACGTTTTTTCTCTTCACATATACCGTTGATGATTGAGCATGACATTATACAAGTCCCTGTATATATATGTGGGGAAAAAATAATTAACCTCTAGTAGGGTTAGTTTACATTTGTTTTTTGACTTTATTCCTATATTCTTTCAGTTTGTCATTCAATCATAAAGAGTTTCATTTCATCATAAAGACTAGCTATTCATGAGCTTGTAGGTATCATTACCAAGGTTTGATTTGATAATTTTGAATAAATTGAGCATTGAGTAGATTGTTATAAATAAATAATACATTTGTAATATCCCAATGAGTAGAAAAATTAGATTTTCTGACGTTTCGTGACTTAGTGTAAGCCACTTCTTCAGAGAATAAATAGTCAAATTAAAATTAATCCAAGTTTAAACTTGGATCTAATTTTTCTACTCATTGGGATATTACAAATATATTATTTATTTATTAACTATTCATGTTTAGAACAGAAAAGATTAGATAGAGAAATGTTGAAATTAAGGGATATTAAAGTATTTGAAAATCCATTTATCATATTTAGAATAAATGTGTTGAATCCTTCAGAAAAACCAACTATTTACTGACTATTGTGTTACATTTATCTTTAAAATTTGATTTTTCCGTTTGTTTGTTTTCTCGCGTGAAATCTACCCTCAAGAGTTGTTTTTTTCCGTTTGTTATAACTTGGGGGTTTGCGCCCCTATCAATGTACACAACGTAATGATACCGTCAATTAGAGAACAATGAATTGTTTTATCGACCGGATCAATGACGCATAAAACCCGTGGGAGCAGTTTAGAGTAACTATCGGTCCTGCTTCCTGTCTAGCCCAGCCAGTTAGGTTCAG